GTCTGATGGTTCTCGATGGTCCTCGGCAGTGTGCGCCAGCTCCACTTATAAACGTGATTTCTTTTTCTCAATTACCGCTTGGATTGGATTTAATTCAATTTTTAATTTGCGTGAAACACAATTTATTTTTTTTAAGAGCGTATGTCGTATTTCTTCTTAATTACTTTTCTTCTAGGGAAATAACCAAGAGATGACGCGATACAATGGCATGGAAGTGTAATTTATTATTAGATCTGTGCATGTCCTCAGCAGTGTATGCCAGTACGTATTTTTTTCTCAGTTATCACTATGTTAGGTTTTTTCGTTAATACAATTTTTAATTTTTACGTAAGATTTAGAATTTTTTTTAAAGAACATACATTACAATTAATTTTCTTAGAAATGATGTGACACAATGGCATGAAAGTGTAATTTATTATTAGATGTTGATCTGTCCTCAGTAGTGTATGCCAGTACGTATTTTTTTCTCAGTTATCACTATGTTAGGTTTTTTCGTTAATTCAATTTTTAATTTTTACGTAAGATTTAGAATTTTTTTTAAAGAACATACATTACAATTAGTTTTCTTAGAAATGATGTGACACAATGGCATAAAAGTGTAATTTATTATTAAATGTTGATCTGTGCATGTCCTCAGCAGTGTATGCCAGTACGTATTTTTTTCTCAGTTATCACTATATTAGGTTTTTTCGTTAATTCAATTTTTAATTTACGTAAGATTTAGATTTCTTTTTTAAGAACATACATTACAATCATTTTTCTTAGAAATGATGTGACACAATGGCATGAAAGTGTAATTTATTATTAGATGATGATCTACGTAGGTGAACGTCCTATTCTGAATCTCTTTGGCAGTATATCAGCCAGCTCAACTTATAAACATGAATTATTTCTCAATTATCGCTATATCAGATCTTTCATTAATTTCAACTTTTCAATTTTTAACTTGCGTAAATCTTAAAAACTTAAATCTTTCTTTTTAAGAGCATACGTTACAATCATTTTTTCTGAGAGAAATATAAGGAATTAAGAGATGACGTGATACACTCATTACAAGCGTAATTTATTATTAGACGATCGTCAATCTGTGAACGGGCGAATGTTCCATTTTTAATTTTAACTGGATCTACCGTGTATTTCGAAAAATTTTATCATCGGTTTACAGTCGAACGAATCCTTCAGTGACCAAAATTATCTCTCGCTGTTGTTCGACGACGATTGAGAATTTCGCGACAGGCTTGCCTCTTGCACGCCGAAGCGGCGGAAACGTAACGCGATGGCAACGAAGCTTCCTCGAAGGCCGTTCCTTCGGATGGAAACATCGAACATTCCGAGCATTAAACAAGCCGTGTAACCACGGGTCTCGACCCTCGATATCGCGAATCGACGTTGGCCGATACCCAAAACGATCCGCGGATGCAGGACTCCAGCCAGTGATCCAGGAACGAAGCTCGGGTACGAAGACTGCCCGAGAAACGTCGAGTTCCCTCGTATAGGCCCGTGATTGACTATCGTAATACGGTACTCGCGTATACGCTGTTACCGAGTTAGCACGCGGCCAAGGTAATTGATCACCGACACGTAAAAACAAGCCAATTTGTTGTTCGCGCGGGATTTCTCGGTGGCCGATCAATAACGTAAGTTTGGAGTCACGTTCGACGCTTGTGATTGCCAACGTTTCCTACACGTTTTCACAAGCGATTGCAACATTTTCGTCAATTGAAACGCTGGACGACGCTGGTTTACGGTTTTCGTTTCGCAGAGCAACGGGGGGAAGAGAACTTTCCTTTCCGGCGCGGGACCAGCACGCTTCACGAATGCGAAGGCTCTCGCGGGAAGACGACGACGACGACGGAGGAACGCACGCCTCGCGGACAGGACAGGCAACGTGAGATATACACGCGTAATGTAGCGCGATAGCACGAGTTTCGGAGTAATTGTTTACGCGTGCCAAGTGAGTTATTTGGCACGTGGCCACGCCGGGGGCAACGGGGGCGGCACCCACGTGGTCGGCCGGCTGCCCGCGGGACTTCTCTTTCCTACTCCTCTCTTTTCCCTCTTCTCCGCTCCCTTTTCTTGCACGCGTCGCGCACGCAACAACGCTCGCTCGTACGTCAGACGAAACTGTCTTGAATATCTATATCTCATATCCTGTTTTTCTTTCTTTTTTTTCTTTTTCTTTTTTTATAAAATCGTACTGTACTATATTTGTACAGTACTTCACTATACAGGGTGAGTAGAAAAAAAATGGTAGACAGTACTTGTCGAAACATGAAAAAAAGTACTAATGAAGCGTGGGTCGGTGAACGAACAGATTTTTCGTTTCGATCGAAGGTGAGACAAACTTCGAGTCGCTTCGAGAGCTATAGTATACTGTATGTAAACACTGGATTATTCGTCTTTGTGTAACATGTATTATTATGTATAATTATCTTGTTACGAGACACAATATTGCAATATTGCATATGTTTATTGTCAGTGAAAAGTTGTAAAGCTAAGAGAGCGCAGTAAAAATAACATCGTATTGTTCCAATCGAGAATATTGCTCTTCGGCTATCAATAACATAAATGAATTACATCAAAAAATACAAAATACTCCGGGAAAAATGTTAGAACACATTTTTTGAGAGAATCTTTGAAAGAGTGTGTAATTCTTTGATACGAAAGTATCAAGCATGCGTAGAAATGAAAGGAAGACACGCAGACAACCTTCTGTAATCAGAGAAAGAAGAAATTATAAGGTGAATAACTAATTATTAGAGGTATTAGAGGTATAAGCAATGTCGTTTTCTTAAAATTTAACAAATTTAACATTAAATATTGCCATCTAGTGACAATAATTCAACATGTTATAACATAACCTATACTCTAGTTAAATATACTCACATTTAGTGTGCTTATTGTTAAACTATATTACAAAGTAAAACTTTATTTATTGTTATAACATCTATATACAAGTTGAATATACTTAGTGTGCTTATTGTTAAATTATATTATAGATTAAAACTGTATTAACTTATTACAACATAACCTACATTCTAGTCAACATAACCTATATTCTAAATAAATACATTGACATTTAGTGTGTTTATTGTTAAATTATATTATAAATTAAAACTGTATTAACTTATTACAACATAACCTACATTCCAGTCAACATAACCTATATTCTAACTAACTACATTGACATTTAGTGTGCTTATTGTTAAATCATATTACAGATTGAAACTTTATTTATTCTTATAACATAATTTATATTCAAGTTAAATATACTGACAGATTTAGCGTGCTTATTGTCAAATTATATTACAGATTGAAACTGTTTTAATTTATTACAACATAACCTACATTCTGGTCAACATAACCTATATTCTAAATAAATACATTGACATTTAGCGTGCTTATTGTTAAATCATATTACAGATTAAAACTGTATCAACTCTTGAATGAAATAAAATTTCGTACAGTATCAAAAAACGACATTACTTGTGGATGCCCCTAATGCATGCAGTAGCGAAGAAATTCGTTTCCTCAAGCGAAACGAAACCTCGTTTACAACTTTGAAACTATTAATTTTTCCACCCATGTGTATTGAGACTTTTTTTCATGCTTGGCCGTGTACTGTCTACCCTAGAAATTAAAAATCCTTTTTTCTATCTCATATCTCCTGTATGATCATACTGTAAATGGAACAAGTATACCTGTTGGCGTTTTCCGCGTGCAACACGACGGAACGAAATTGAAAAGTCGGGAAGAACGAAGCAGAATCGGGACGTTTCGAGTCTCTTCGCTTCGACAAGGAGCGGATCGTGGGGAGATCGCGCGCGCGATGATGATTTCCGAGAAGATCGTCGTGTTTGGACGCTCGGAGTTTTCCGATGCTCTCTCATTGTGTCCGAGCGTTTCTAACTTCGCGAAATAAATGGGTCGAGGACTGCGTCTCGCTGATTTATACATCGTCGAAACTCTCTCTCTCTCTCTCTCTCCCTCTTTTTCCCCATCTCCCTCTCCTTGGAAAATTTCGCGACTCTCATCCGGTCGCGGAACGAAATCTAAATCGTCAGTGACGTCGTAAATCCAGGGGAATCCGGGATATTATTACAGGAAATCGGTCGATTGCGTCACGCATCCCTCTTCCCTAGCGAGCTAAATACGAATCGAAATCGTATCCCAGAACTACCCCGGCGAGACTGAATTATTTCAAGGAGACAAACGGGGGAGAGGAACGTCGGCTAGAGAAATTACCGTCACGTGATAAATAAAGTCGTTGGCGAACTTTCGGGTTCGACAATTGCGAAAATAGGATTAAATATGGCTAAACCGGGAATGATGGAAAATGGAATAACGCGGATGAAATCCGTGGAATTGTAAACAACCGGGAGGGGCAGTAGGGGGATCGAACACGATCTGGCGGATTTCAGTTCAAGAATAACAGAAACAAACCGTTCGAACGACGATACTGCAAAAATTGTTAGCTGAAAACTGTTCCCGACTTTCGCTCGCTGGCCAGTTCCATCTTTATCCTTCTCCTCTCCCCCCCCCCCCCTTCCCCCC